ATTTACATTCCATTGATCTCAGCGTATGATATTCTGTTTATAAAAGCCCAGTTTGAGTGTGAACAGAATTGAACATTGTAGGCAAGTGCAGAATGCTTACAAGATGAGATGCTGGAATGCAAGCATTTCTTTACATGTGAAATATGATTTTGAAAAGAAATTACAACATCATTCTGAACTTTCTGTTTAAGTTGTGGATTTGTGTTCCATAGGAATAGTTGCCCGTAAGGGAGGTTCCACCCAAAAGGGGTACCTTTTTCAGACTTCAGGTATATGAAAGGCAAAGGAATTCACAAGTTGAAGTATATGAAAGGCTTAATAAAAGGATTGCATTGTTAGGTGGAAGAGTAGCCTGCAAACACCGAAGTGTTTCCAGTCATTGCTTCTCTCCACCCACCGGAAATACGTCTGTGTCCGCAGGCTAGTGGAAGGGGTACTATTTTTCAATAGAAGGTGTATAAAAGGGGTACTTTTTTCACTCAGTGATGGTATATGAAAGGTTTTGGGGCTGGAACATGAGGCAGAGTTTCCCTGCATGAAAGTTTATTGAGTATCTTCTGGGTGGTCATAAAAGGCTTAAAAGCAGCTATTTCTCCCTTATTCCCTTAGAGTGACTGCTAAAACCGTTTAAGCCCAAGAGAGAGTAATATTTTATTTTATTTTATTAGATTTGCCAATTATTGGTAGGGTCACGGCAACAGCATGACACCAATTACTGCGGGCCCGTAACAGTCCCTCCCCCCATGAGAGATAGACCACAACACNTTGTGTTCCATAGGAATAGTTGCCCGTAAGGGAGGTTCCACCCAAAAGGGGTACCTTTTTCAGACTTCAGGTATATGAAAGGCAAAGGAATTCACAAGTTGAAGTATATGAAAGGCTTAATAAAAGGATTGCATTGTTAGGTGGAAGAGTAGCCTGCAAACACCGAAGTGTTTCCAGTCATTGCTTCTCTCCACCCACCGGAAATACGTCTGTGTCCGCAGGCTAGTGGAAGGGGTACTATTTTTCAATAGAAGGTGTATAAAAGGGGTACTTTTTTCACTCAGTGATGGTATATGAAAGGTTTTGGGGCTGGAACATGAGGCAGAGTTTCCCTGCATGAAAGTTTATTGAGTATCTTCTGGGTGGTCATAAAAGGCTTAAAAGCAGCTATTTCTCCCTTATTCCCTTAGAGTGACTGCTAAAACCGTTTAAGCCCAAGAGAGAGTAATATTTTATTTTATTTTATTAGATTTGCCAATTATTGGTAGGGTCACGGCAACAGCATGACACCAATTACTGCGGGCCCGTAACAGTCCCTCCCCCCATGAGAGATAGACCACAACACCAGGGACTACGTCCCCTACTCTCTTAATTGTTTAAGCCTCAATATTCCCATGCAAATTCCTCAGTCTGATCTCATCACATGTCCTTGAAGAATAAGTTGAGAGAATTTGATACGATAGAGCATTTCCCCCTAGGTGATCATTTTATTAATTCTCACAACCTCTTCTCTTCATGTATGGAAAATGTTAGGAGTTTACAGCTGCTCGGGCTGGAGTCGCTTAATACTCCCCACCCTCCCCCACGGAGTCTAGACGTTGGTAACGATTGGGACTAAGGCGATTTATTTGTACAACTCCTTTGAAGCCATCAAGTGTGGCAATTCCATATCAGGTCATCCCTCTAATCTGAGTATTTGATTATGCAGTACAGTAAGCCTGCATGGCAGGCGCGAAAACCGGAAATGGGAGGGGAAGGAGGAAAAGGAAGAGACTCTCCCCGATCCTCTCTGCCTTTTGCCCTTTCGACGCCTGCAACGAAGCATACGCTACAGTCTTACAAGGAGTCCTTGAAATTGTAGCATGTTCTAGAGATGTTCCGATTCTCATTTCACCTTTGGAAGTCTAAAAGTTTTGTGTTTCCTGGGCGTGAAAGGAATCTTTTACATGATTTTCAGATGCAAGGCAAGATGAAAATGTATTGTGGGTCAATATAACGCAGCCAAATTCGCCGGTAAATTTCTAAACATCTCCCAAGTACTTTAACATTTATCCTCTTAAAATAATCCATGGCTTGGGAATAAATCTCGGGGACTAATAAATTTCTCACAGAACCCAGCCAAAGTTAGACTTTTTGCTTAAAGAACCCCGACCCAATGGAAGTTTTTAAACGACAAAAAATGGTTGAGCGACAAATGAGAGGACATGACAATAATAAACAGAAAAATAGAATTTAAAAGATCAAAACTGATGAATTCGAATCAATCTACTTTTTTGCTGTCTTGTCAACGAGGAACGTTCAGTTTTGCCCAAATTTTGTTTGAGTAGCTAGAAGCAAACACAATAATTTTGTAAATAAATTATAAACTTAAAAAAATGTATCATCTTTTCACCTCTCATTCAAATAATAATTTCAAATCCAGAGTTGAATCTTAGCCTGTGCTTTCTTTTAGTTATACATTGTAGATTACTACCGAGTTCCTGTCTTAACGCAAAGCTTAAGCAGACTGGCCGATAAATTTGCACACCAACTACATTTACATCATTTCTTTTAAGCTGTTAACTCCTGGTACACTTTGTAGAGGTTCGGTTAAGTTATTTTGATCTAGAGAAACCGCATGTTTACTAGTTTTATTAGTTTTACACAGCTGTTTCATTTCAATGTATTCTTTTTTACCCCTATTCACAAACTTTTGTGGACCTCAAAAATTATGTTAGAGAAATTGTCAGCTAATAGGATGAGAAACCGCATGTTTACTAGTTTTATTAGTTTTACACAGCTGTTTCATTTCAATGTATTCTTTTTTACCCCTATTCACAAACTTTTGTGGACCTCAAAAATTATGTTAGAGAAATTGTCAGCTAATAGGATAGTTATTAGCTCTGAAAACTCAATAACAGTGTAGTTCAAAAACCAATGGCACTTCTCTACACTTAGCAATAATCTCCGCCGATATTTGCTTAAGAATAAACTTTGCTAAAATTTAATTTACAGTCCAATTAACAATGTTATTTTAGCTGCTCCTCCAACGTAACATTATACATAACTTCTGAAATAAAAGGAAGCCAGTTACTGCGGCTCCATTACTTACGTCCCAAGCTCTCTACTGAAAATAAAACTACTCAAGATGTTTTTCCTTGTGATTTTCGCGTCGCTGTTTCTTTTCCAGGCTGCAGTTTGCGAAGAGGACGAAACAGAATTTGCTTTGGTAAGTATGAAATTACTGATTTCGAGATGTTTTCTCATCTGGTGACGCGAAACCCTAACTTAAATCACTCTTTAAACGCGCCCCCGAGGCAACACGTAATAGTTATTTCATAAGAAATTGGGTCGGATGCCTTGTTCGAGCCCCTTTTCCTATAAAGAAAAATTTTCAACAGTTGCCTTGTTCTAAGCTCTGTGATTTTCTTGATGCAAGAAAGAAATGCTGCACAACGTAAAATACCGTCAAGTGTCCGTCATCAACTGACACTCCCTTATAAGTAACTGAAAAAGTGCTTTTGTAAGAGAGGAGTACTCCTTATTAACTAAGGAGTAAAAAATACAGTCGTGTTTGTGTTTGGCTGAGCTTGGCTGGGACCACAGCGCAAGTTACGGTTGATGGCCAAAATTACAGGAACGTTAACTGAGACGTGAGTATTCGTTTTAAGTTGAGTACTAAGAAGTTCAGAATACCGATCGTTATTATTCGCCATTAGAGAATTACACACTGTAAAAGTGGTCAGTAATGCAAGAGTCAATTTTATTTGTACCCATTGTCCTTATTTCCACCTCGTATAATTAAGTTTAAAAGTCGTGAATTTGATAAAGTTGATATTCTGGAGCTATATTAAAGGCGAGTGGAGTTTTGGGGTATAGTTAGACATAGAGAGGCAACTGTTGGCAAGTTTGTGATCTTAACTATAAAGTAATGACAATAAGATTTATAATTTATAAATGGCGTAAAAAAATGTAATTTAATGATTTTGATGACGTCGTACGACTCCAGATTAAGGCCATTTTGGATCTGTAAGCTTGGATTTCCAGCGCGTTAGAAAAATATCTGATGGAGGCACTGATTGAAATCACTACAAAGGAAACTCGATATAACGAAGGACCTAGGGACTGGCAAAAGCTTTTCGCTATAACGAGGTTCTTTTTCATATCAGTATATCACTATTACTAAGGTAAGGAAAATAATTCGTTATACCTAGGATCAACTTCGTTATATAGAGTTTCGTTATACATGTACAGGGGCGGATCCAGGTTTTTTGTTAGGAGGGAGTGCACTCGTCTTTTGCTCTACTTCAACACCAATAAACCACATAGTTTTTTTTTTTGGCAGAATACCAGTTGTATTAGAAAACCGCAGGTCATCTAAGGGGAGGGGGGTGCGCACCCCCTGCACCCTCCCCCTAGATCCGCCCCTGATGTATCATGGGTTTCTCTGCAGAAGCGATATTGGACTGATAATTATGGTATCATGATGCATTAAGTACTTCAGGTGTCATTTGGGCGTTGCCTTTCGAAGAATGTAACGACCACTTTTCGAGAAGAAGTCTTACAGACCTAAAACTCAAAAAAAAAATTCGGAATGAAACTAATTGACTAGATTCAGGGGATGCACTTTCTTCTCCCTCAATTGGTTTTTAAAAAAGAAACGTTGTAATAAAATTAACAATTATATAATTATTCTTTGGCCGTGGATTTTCCTTGGACGAGTCTTCAAGGATCAGTTTTAAGTCAGGCGAGTTATCCGCATGCTTTACCCACCTGCAGGGCCTAGTTGTTCTAAGGCCTCTGATTAGCGCTAACTACAGGTTAAATTTCAATCCCGGTTTCTTTTTCTCTTTCGAAAGCATTTTCGCGGGTAACTTTCTCTATACTTTTACCATCATCCAATCATCATATTGTAGACAAAAAGAATTAAACGGAATTTCCTTTTTTCCTTTCACATCTGAATTCAAATTTCGTACTAACCCTGGGTTATCCTAACCCAGCATTGAACGTCTTGAACAACCCGGCCCAGCTGATTGATGTTTCAGACTGTTCTTCTTTTTCAGAATTATCTCTCCAACTTTGGATACACTTCGCACAGCAGATCAGGCAGTAATGATGCTATCTCGGCGATCAAAAGGTTTCAGGAATTCTTTGGTCTTCCCGTGACTGGAAGGCTTGATGAGAGGACACTGGAAGAGATGAGGAAGCCGCGATGTGGAGTTAAGGATTTTGTGGCAGGCAAGAATAGCATGCGTGCGAAGAGATACTCTACTTCCTGGACTAAATGGCGCAAAACATCTTTGAAATACTACATGACGTACGGTGACGACATGTCAGAGAGCAAACAGGCAAGAATCATCGCCAAAGCGTTTAAAATGTGGAGTGATGCAGCACCAAAGCTTCGTTTTACCAGGACATTCAGAGTCAGTGAGGCAGACATAAAAGTCAGGTACAAGACATTAGTCAAAGCATGTTAGATAATAACAGCTCTAGCTAGGTTACTAAACTAACGAAGTAATTTTTTAAGCAAACTAGTAGTTGGCATGTACTATTTCTGGGACCCAATCCGATCTAAGCACAATGAAAATTAAAAATTTATATTAACCTTTTGTCTCCCCATGCAGCTGCAAGTAATCTCTTTTAGGAAGGAAGTGCTCGACCAATTCAGCCTTTCTGTAACATAAATTTGATTTAATGAATATTATTTTACAGTTTTGGAAGAAGGGAACATTATGGTGTTCCAGGTGAAGGCAAATGTTACGATCCATTTGACGGTAAATCCGGGATGTTTGGTGGAGGATTAGTGCTAGCCCATGCTTTCTTCCCCGAAAATGGTCGACTGCATTTCGACGACGACGAAAAATTCACTGAAGAAGGCTCCATTTGGGGAGCCAAAAGTCTGATTCACGTGGCAGTTCACGAGATAGGTCATATTTTGGGGCTTCATCACTCAGATGTCAAAGGATCGGTGATGTGGCCAACTGCCAGTCGGGGCACACCGAAGCTACACGATGATGACATTAAAGGCATCAGGTCTTTATACGGTATGCTCTAGCAACACCTAACACCTAACACCTAACCACTTAGCTTTTCTCGCCCCTGGTGAAGACTAGTTTTGTGTAGTCGAAATATTAGGCAAATAAATTTGACAATTATCAACCCTCAGCTGTCCGATCAGCCTTGCCTTCAGTTTTAAGTGCAACACCTAACATGTCTGTCAAGTATATCCCCGCCACAGAGGCTTGTAAAATTAAGACACTGGGTTACCAATACAACAATGAGATACGATTATGGACCCTTCATAATGACCGCCGTTACACTCATTGCACCACTTTTCGCGCGCTCTCTCATATTAATAAGTTCCCGCTGCAAGTCCCGGATGTTAGTCACGGAAAACCGCTGTACACCACAGTCTGCCTCTGTAGTCTATAGTCTGACTGCTGATCATACAAAATAGTAAACTGGCTCGACTTGTTCAAAAGGTGGATAAATCTCTATCGAATATATAGTGCAACTGCTTTCCCTAATACTTATCCGCTGGATAGTGATTTATCCGGTGGATAGCTCCGTGATTCAACGTCTGATGACAACCGAGGCCAGCATGAGTGTTACGCATAGGGACTAGTAAACGGCCTCTTTCTCCATGGGTTTCTTCATAGCTCCATGCAGTAGAGTAAAAGGCATCCAGCTGTCCGGTGCCTTGGTTTGATGCCATTTCGAGGACTTACGATTTTTTCCGTTTTCATGACAATACAAGACTTTCTCTGACTGTGTAGGTGTTTGGACAACTTTTAAATTCCTGAAGTTTATAGGTACAGATGGAAACGAGGCTGGAGTTGACCTTGCTTTTTTATTATGTAAATCATGTTGTTCTCATACTGGGCAATTTTGTTCATTAAAAAACGAAAGGTTTTTATCGAAACGTTGTGAAAGTTACCTTCACGTTCATTCAAAGGCTAGGGAACTAAACCCACAACTGTAAAATGAACTATTTTTTGTAAATATTATTTTCTTTTTTCAAGGTTGATCATGCCCATGCCGTTGTCACCCATGGCCATTGACAACAGGTGAAGCCGGTGGATGTCGCGTCGCTGATACTGCAATTGAATAAAACTGGAATGAAGAAACACTTTAGCTTGTTTTTATTTTGACTTTAACCATAGAACTTTTCATTTCCATGTTGGTCCCTTTGCTCTCCTTTCTTCCCCCCCACCCCCGTCTGTACCTCGGAAATGATAATGAAAGGCGCTCTTTCCTGCCGTTGTGGTATAAGCCGCACATACGGCACACAAAATGGGAGTACACCCTTATTATATAAACTTTAAAGAGAAAAAGATTCATCGATCGAGCAGTTTTCAATTTAGGACATATAAAGGCAGACTTAATGTTTACAAAAACGTCAGCAAAAGTTGGGATTGGAGGGGATGGTTTAGAAGGGGGGGAGGGGGGTGGGGGGCTGCAAAGGAGGCTGTCTTGAAAATGCTTGTAACGCCGAACAAATCACTGCTGAAATTTGCCAGTTTCCTAGCAACACGTTTTAGTTAGGCAAATGTAAACGTTACCTTAAAGTGCAGCCTTGCAAGAATGTAAAAATAAACTGAAACAAATTATTATCCAACGATCGATGTAAGAAATATTCTGCATGCATGTTTAACGGTACAATGAGACGTTCATTTTCAATTTTCTTTACTGACCAAACTTAGAGCAACTGAATCTCCAGTTAGCTTGAAATAGATCTCTTATTAGACAAATGAACTAGGCATGGTATTTTTGAGGTGTTTCGAACAATTGTACGTCTCTCAATGATGGGCGACTGAATGGCTTTATGTCATTTAATTTAGTGACGAGCTGGCAATTTAAATTCTATTCTGCCACTGAATTCTGCAACGCAGTTTGTGGATTACTCTTAGTGCGGTAAGTTTGTCTTAACAATAATTTTTTTCTTTCCTTGTATAGCCTTCTATGACTCTTAAAGGTTACTTTACCTTACGGTGGGGACTTTTTCGTGGCCCTCTAGGCCTACAACAGCAATCATTCGTATTAGAACGTGAGCAGTGTCTTTTTTTAGCCCCTCATATTAACGATTAAGTTAACGGCCTATTTTATCGTATTCATCGTGTTCAGTCAAGTTAATGAGTAGAGACCCGGGGACTGGTAACATGGGCGAGTAAACGTGTTTCGCCGAGCTCCCTAAATCGTCGTGGAAAATTTATAGTATTTAATGCTGGATAAACGCAAAAACCGGTCAAAAGCTTCCAAAGATTCTTCGCCATCTTCAAATGAAAAAAAGTCGAGAGACGAAGTAAAGGCACACCGACTGCTTCGGAGACCGACAAGAAATGGCGCAAGGTGTAGGGACGAAGCTTGAGGCTGTACTTAAAAATTAGAAAGCTTGCTACTATTGAAAGCCGCTATGACAGATGCACACAACTCTAGCAAGTATTGAAGAAATTGTAAGCAGGCTGGATTCGAAAGTCAAGGATCTCAAAACAAAGTCCAAACAGCTTGGCTCAACAGTCAATCAATTGAAAGAGAGCGTCCAATTTAATGAGGAGGACATATCCGACTTAAAGCTTGAAAACCTTAAACAGTTACAACAGGATGTCTGCGAGCTCCAGAAACAACTTCTTTACATGGAGACTTACTCAAGGAGAGAAAATGTAAAATTTGTGGGGCTACTCAGTGGAAGAGAACGTTGACAACATGAATGGTGGTGAAGAAAATCACAATGGCGCCCAAGCACAAATAGAAGACACAGGAGAAATTGTAGTCTAAAAATTTCTCAAAAAGAATTACTCAAGATTACAAATGCTTGAAAAAAAATAGAATTTCAAAGGCTTCAACGCTCAGGAAAACCGAAAAGTGGAAGCTCGCGTCCGATTATTTCACGTTTTTTGCGTTATGGAGATAAGGAACTAGTGATGGATTAGGCGCGAAAACATCTGAAGGACACGGACTTCCATAAACAAGATTTCAAGATTTCTTTATTTGCCTTTCATCCTTTACATCAAATCTAGTCTTAGGCTTGACATAAGATAATAATATCAAGAAACATAAGGCCGGAAGATTTTAAACAAGCTCCATTGAGCCGGCTTTTTGTAAAAATCTCCCGTACTTGTACATAGTTATGTATTACGGTAAAAGGCGTCGAGATGTAGAAGATGTAGAAGTTAATTCATCACATTACATTAGCGCGGTTTTCACTTGACTGCCGTAAAACCAAAACCAAAGTAAATACACTAGCCAACCAAAGGGCGTAGTAAAACCAAAACCAAAACCAATCCCTTTCGACAGTCAAGTGAAAACCGCTCTAATGACAATCCAAGGTCTATCTAGCACTGAACTAACCAACTAAATGTAAATCATTTTGGATATATACTTTTAATGATGTTTTAAATTTGTTATATGATTTTAATTTCTTTAAATCAGTCGTTAAGCTGTTCCATACTGTGGCTCCTCTATAACCGAGGGAAAATTTGCCATCATTATAGTCCTTATATAAGTAATGTGTATACTTGAGGCTGATCATGTAGTATAGGTATGTACTTTATCGTTTGTTTTCAAGTAATTTTTGAAAAATATAGGTAGTTTATCATGGAAATACAGATACATAAAAAGTGCTAAAAAAATACATGTTAAGTTCATATATATTCATTTGTTTTAACGAAACAAAAATAGGTCCATGTCTACGATAACATCCCGAAATTGTTGTACGATTCGAGGAAAGGACAAATAAAGAAGTCGCAGAAAGCCAGGGAAAAAGGCTTTGCCGCCTACTTTAGTAAAGCTCAGCCCAACAAACTGTTTGTCAATGGAAAGTACTTTGCCCCTGGTGATCCAATAGAGTGATAACCTTTCAGTAACAAGGGTTTTCTCTGCGAATGCCAAATAATCTCTTTGCAACTACTTTTCCATTAATTTAATTTTTTCTTTCAATATTATGCATAACGATATCAGGGAGTTCTATATGTAGGAACGAATATCGATCAGACCGTTACCAAAGACGACGGAACCCAAAAGGATTTATTTCTGTGATATGTTTCTGTATCTGTGTTTATATTCTTCTGTGTGTTATTATCTTTCCTTTTCATGTACCTTGCACAATTTGCAAATATCAAGGCCTAGTAATGACAATACTAAATTACATAGCTGCTCTCCCTGACACTCTCATCAAAGGATTTCATTTCACACCTTTTCACCATGCATTCTGATGATATGGTAATTTGCTCCCTAAACGTAAGAGATCCGTCAAACAATACTAAACGGAGAGAAACTTTTTTATGGTTAAAGAAAAAAATTTTTTTTTTAACTTTTTGCAAGAGGTGCATAGCACCAATGAGACAGAACCTTATTGGCATTCTGAATGGGGATATTCAACTATTTTTACAACCTTCTCAAGCTCTAGGGCAGGCGTTGCTATGCAGTGTTCAACAACAATTTTCAATTTCCAATTCTGAAACATTTTGCCCACCCCAAAGGAGGTCAAATCTAATGATCAATGCAGTTTCTGTAAAGAAAGCTCGGAAACTCTTTTGAACCTCTTTTGGGAACTTCCTTTCGCTAAATTCTTTTGGAACGAAATTATTAGTAATTAGATGGAAAACAGCTCTTGCTTTCTTGACGAAGAATTCTCTTTTTCGTCTTACTTAGGCCTCGTGAACGATACTACAAACTTACTTTTCCATCAAGCACTTTTAATCTCGAGCTATATGATTTATATGCGGAGTAATGTTAATGATGCAACTAGTAATAATAATAATAATAATAATAATAATAATAATAATAATAATAATAATAATAATAATAAAGTATTTGATCAACTGGAATATTTTTGTCCTTTCACAGACCTTCCACCTCAATCGTACTTACGATATGCAGTTATGGGGGTGGATTTTGCTGTTCCTCCTGGGGGGCATGTGATGAACACTTCAAACTTGACGAATCTGAAGCAAAGTGATTAACATTCCTGATCTCTCAAGTATAATTCATACTAAAATAAAAACATCTGATAGAATTGAAAAGCATTTTTCTATGTAATCTCCTTTATTTTCTGTTTTCTATCACAGTGTTTTCTCTGCCATTGCAGCGTGTTCACCCAAGTATAACAGTACTCAGAAAATTATCTGCAGTTTTCACTTGACGAATAACGACCACAGAGACTATTCGGTCCTAAAATGGCGCACACCGTTGTCGGGAATGACTTCTGATTTCCTAACTGTAATGTACGAAGGAATGAGGCTAGATTATGATGGGATCTTCATGAAAAAGCGTAATTCTCCTGGCCCTGACCAGTTCCTGTTCGTTGCCGCCGGGCAAACCGTCTCTTCGACGTTTGATGTTTCAGCTGGGTATGACGTAAGCAAGAGTGGAAAGTACTCAGTTTCACTAGACACGTATTTAGAATATATACCGGGTAGTATTAGGAACATAAACATGCCTGGCAAGCATGCCTTGCCAGCAAAAGTTAGTCACCTGTCTTCCCCAAAAGAGATATTTCAGGTAGTAGGGGAAAATTCTACTAGGAGAACATTAGGTCAAACGGAGCGTTCTAATTTGGAGAGC